CTTTGTATAATTTACAAATTTATTTACAAGGAGAATCATGAAAAAGTGTAGACTTCATGAATTTAAGTGAAGCACTAGATTGCCAGTTAGGTCTCATCATTTTACAGTTGAAATGGCTAGATGTAACCATAAGTTCTATGCTAACAGTTTCTTCTATCATACTTCTCACTTGGGAAACTCTCTTCCAGTTTCTTGCTTCACAGTCAATTTTGATCTTCAAAAATTTTAATGCAATGTTGATCATTATCTTCTGCTGATGTCCTCAAGGACACATGGCCCATTGGATAAAGGTGTTGGTTGGATCCAGTGACTTAAACCAAAGAGTTGTGTGTTCAATACCTGGCTTCTGCAGTGGTGAACAAAAACTTAGAGAGTTGAGTTAAAGGGAAATAACTGAGACATCGGGAAGAGGCATGGTATGCGGAACTAGAACAATCTAAATGACTTTCTTTTTTGCTACACATTTGTTTCTTAATTCCTGTTCTTTTATTGTTTTCTCACCTTAATAGTATTTTTGGGGTTTTTTTGTCATATTTTCTAATACTCAGTAACTCTTTGCATCTAAGTGTCTTTATTGCCTTGCTTGGGGTGAAATGATAAAAAAAAATACTGGTAGATTAAGTGGAAGAACAATGCATGACCATTAACCAAAAGAACACTTGTTATGATCTAGGAGGCTGGGATAAAATGCTCAAAACTGCGAAAGTCAACAGATTCTGATATAGTTAAGATTAAAAACCTTTCTCTTTGCCATATTTGTTCATATTTTACTTTTCAGATACTATAACTGATTCTAGTAATACATTTGAAGTGTGACCAATACATCAGTAGAGAAGTAAAAATCTATTAGGAACAAAATAAACAAACCAGAAAATACATACATCAGCCAAATCTTCTCATAAAATGTGTTACATTTAATTCTGTCATTTCAGAAGCTGGTAACTTAACCCATTTATAAATACTAGTTGAAAGCCTTCCCTAGAAGCAGAATTTTATGCTAGTTCATGCAGAAAGCCTAAATAGAGCCTTTAGCACCAACACTGATTTCAGCTACGTGTTTATTGAATCATTATATTTGAGAATGATCACCTTGCATAAAATATGATTACCTTACCTTACTTGAAAATCATCACAATTGTGAACTCTTGGATCATATTTAATTTAAATATCTGAGAAAATTTCATCAAGGAGATTTCAATTGGCCACATTTTGGGGCAATCTTAACGCTTCACTGAGATTTAGTTGTTTCAATAAGAGAGCCATTTGGAATTCATTTACTGAACAGTTAGCATTACTTTCAGTTGAAATTTATAAAATCTTTCTTTAAAATTGTTTTTCAGGAAAATAGGTTTCTTAATTCCCCTCCTATCACTCTTTCTATTAATGACGGGAGTTTCTTTCTTAACTTTTTCTTTAAGGTACTGCAGATAGTCAAAATCTTGATTCTATCATTATTTTCCTTTGTACTTACATGAGCTATACATTTTTGTTGCTGCTACTGTTGGAAGTCTTCAAGTGATGTGGTTCTTGTTATTTGGTAAACCTCTTTATGATGCTGTCATGCTAGGCAATAGGGTCTCATGAACGATTGTGTTCTTTAAGGCATAAAGGATTCATTCACTAGAAACCATTTATAAACCATTCGTCTGAGAAAATGGCTGTATATTGTTGACAGTCTGGATATTTCTGAATGATCTGCATGTCATGCATGACATCCATATAACAGTCAAGATCTAACAAAGCATTTAAGACAATGACTTGAATTCTGAGACTAATATTTCAGTTTTGTAGCATCTTGTGGTGTTGGACAAAACTATGTTTTGTTCCTTTATACTTGGTTTAAAAATAAAACTCTTTATTAAAATCTTAGAATATTACAAAATTTCTAAAAACTCTTATGTTAATACTATGCTCTTGTAGCCATTCATAATCGTAGAAAATTTGGTGATTGTAACTTTAGCTGTTCTTGAGTAATGCAATAACAGAGAGAGATAAAAAAAAGATATTTGTTCAATTATTTTGCTCACAAAGAATTTCAAATCAGTTTTAACTGATAAAGTCTGGGTTGAAATAAGTTTAATTTTAAACAAGTGCAAAAAGGTTGATTTGTCTCTGAAGTGAACGACTCATCACTCACTGTCAGGGTGATAATTTAACATCAGCTCAACCAAATATTGCAGGATTTTGGCAATGATTTATAACAAGGCTGCTGTGCCATATGTGTCCAAGATAGCACACTCCAAGACGACAATAACAACAAAAGATGAAAGATTCCTGGTAGAAGACATTTGTTGAAGCGTTATTTTGCTGCTGCTCACTTTCTTTGTAAACTATTTTTTTACCAATATCTTTTAATATAAATATTCTTAAGTCAGTCATGTATTTTTCCCCAGGTCTCCGGTGTAATGCAATGTAATTTTACAAAATATAAGAAAATTTTCTAGGCCTGTATGATTGTCATCACTGCCTGGAAGCCATATGTCACTTTTGAGTGCCTCTTCAAAAATGATACAAATTTACGAGCATACCCCCAGTGGGGACACAGCAAATAAAAATCTGCCCCACTATAGAGGTGTCTTTTATTGCTTCAATTCATGAATAAAGAAAAAAAGAGAAGAAAATAGAGCGAATTCAACTTGACAAGTTTGATTAAATGGATGGCAGGAAAACAAAAATTGCCACAGTAAAAGATAAGAAGCTGTGGAGAGCCACGTTTGTCCATGTCCTGAAGGAATATAGGACACAGAAATAGAAAGAGAGAAAAGTCTTGTGATATAAAGCATCTTAAATCCACACAAATTTACACCATACGTCATAGCTTAAAATATTTTCCATGAAAATCATGATTCTTGTTTCTTTTGCATTAAATCAATTTCCTATTTTCCAATGAAATAACAAAGAACGTGCAAATGACTTGCAGGATGTTCTCTTGCTTCACTTTTAAAGAAAATCGAACTTCTTTATCTCTTATACAATGTGGCTCTTTTCTATCAAGAAAGACCATCAACTCTATTTAGTTTATGTGATAAAAAACAATGCAAATAAAATCGATACAGTTGTCCCCACCCTTTTCCATGTCTTCAATTACTCAGGTCAACCCCAGAAATAAACAACATCAACCAATAAAGCTGGCATTTATGTGTCATACAGATACAAACTTTGCAAGGTGTAAGACGAAATGACAGTTATTAAATAATAATCCCAGCTGGAGAATTGTGTTCAACGTAATGCTCTTAAGAAAAGCATAAAATCACTTCTCCCTGAACGCTGTCTGATTGTTAAAAATCTTGACAAAATATCTTATTGCAGGCTGATGGGGAAGAGAGTGAGGGAAAGAGCACTTGGACAAACCCTGGGACAATAGACTAGTGGATTATAGTACTGGTTTGTGAATTTGCTAACATAGCAATTGTGAGTTCAATCTCTGGCCTGAGTAGTACAGACTGAAACTCAATGGAAGATGAACAAGCAATAACTGAACAGTATGAATAAGAAGTATTAGTTTGTTCAGAAAATAATGTTTAATTTTACAATCAAATTTTATTCCTGAATAAACTGTGTTTCAATCAATCAAAATGGGAACCTTGAACATCTATACATTCCAACATCAAATTACAAGGTTATTTATGTGTTCATGATAAAACTCCTAATTTTTTTGATGCCAAGAAATTTTGAATGCAGTTGTTGCATCTTCCTTGCAACAGAATGTCTTTTAGCTTAAATATTGTGAAGATGCTTGAAAAAATGTTTGTTAGTGAATGAAAGATCAGGAGGAATATTGTATATATGACAAAGTCTCATATCCAAAATTGGTGACATGTGGCAGTGCATTCTCATGAAGCAGAATTGGAGCTTGTTGATTAACCAGTGCTAGTTGCATTTTCTTAAAGGAATGTGTATTTTATTCAGTTGCTAGCAGTAAACCATTAAATGCTACTGCCATATCTGATCTGGTGCTTCTGTTGTACATCTCAAGATTCTTGAGAAAATCCAACGAAGGATCTGTAGTATAATCATGACTCAACATGAGTCACTTTCTCACCAATGTGGCTTCCTTCTGTCTTTTCTACAAATATCTTCATGGCAACTGCTCTGATGAGCTTTTAACCCTGGTGCCCAAACTGCATAAATTTTTATTACTAGACTACCATATTAGATTTTGTCCTCTTAGTATTGAAATAGCTAAATGCAACATCACTTCCATTCTGTTTCTTCTCTCACACTTCTCACCTGTCAAACTCCCTACTAGCTTCTCTGGTAACAACAATCTTCAAAAATTTAAATGCAACATCAATTGCCATCTTCTGTCTTCTTGAACCCCATTCATCTTTTGTCCTTTCCTCACTTCTTCCTATTCTCAGTTTTCTCTTTCACATTCTGTAACCCCTTACATACTAGTGGTATTACCAATTTGCTTAGGATGATATGATTAAAAATAAAAACATTCTGATTAGATTACAAAAAGCTGTAATAGATAATGCCAATGATGGACTTCCAGACAGTCACCATAGTATAATAATAGTGTAATTTTCATTTGTGAAAGTATTTGGGTGCTTCGTTTTGATTAAACTACTGAGCCACTTGTTTACAATTATCGTAAAGGATCTATTTCTCATCACAAGTCACTATTCAAATTCCACATGTACATCAAACACACTTCAAAATGTCAGATAGATAAAGGTGTTAGTTAGATCCAGTGACAGAACTCAAAGAGTGTGAGTTCAATACCTGGTTAAGATGGTGGAGAACTTGGAGAGGAGAATTAACAGGAGATAACTGATAACTGACATCCATTAGACATAGCACGTGAAACTAGAACAGTGTACCCCAGTGAGCAAAATAAAGGGTTCAGCTCAACTTTCCAACCACCTGAAGAAAGCCGAAGCGTACAACGATCAAAACATTGTAATAAATATGACAACGAAAATGAAGACAATAGTCCGAATAATGTAAATAGTATAAATTTTTTACTAAATTTGAATTTGACAAAGTAAAAATGTTCAAAGCATAAAGAGAGGAGCAAACTGAGGCAGATAGATAATGGACGGACTGAAATAGATAAAGAACAAATAGACTGAAAGAGATAGATAGATAGATAGATAGATAGATAGATAGATAGATAGATAGATAGATAGATAGATAATGAACAGAATGCGATAGATAGACAGATAATAAAGAGACTGAAGTAGATAGATAACAAACACACTGAGACAGACATATAATGGATGGATAGACAGATAATGAATAGATAGATAGATAGATAGATAACAGACTAAGATAATGAACAGACTGACATAGATAATGAATACATTGAGATAGATAATGAACAGAGATAGATATATAGACAGATAGCAAACAGACTAAGTTAATGAACAGACTAACATAGATAGAGATAATGAATACACTGAAATAACAAATAGACTAAGATAGATAGATAGATAGATAAATAGATCGCAAACAGACGAAGATAGATAATGAACAGACTGATATAGATAGACAGATAATGAATACACTGAGATAGATAATGAACAGACTGAGATAGATAGATAGATAGATAGATAGATAGATAGATAGATAATGAACAGACTGACATAGATAGGCAGATAATGAATAAGTGAGATAAATAATGAACAGACTGAGATAGATAGATAGCCAACAAACTAAGTTAATGAACAGACTGGCATAGATAATGAATACACTGAAAGAGACCGAGATAGATAAATAGATAGCAAATAGACTAAGATAGATAAAGAACAGACTGAGATAGATAGACAGATAATGAATACACAGAGATAGATAATGAACAGACCGAGATATATAAATAGGTAGGTAGAAGCATGCATATTAATATACTGATGGAAATTCATAAATTTTTTTTACTGTATTTGAATTTGACAACGCAAGCATTATCAAAGCAAAGAATGTGTAGTTCACTCATTGTTCAACGTTTTTTACTGCTTAATTCTCTTCTCATTTAAGTGATAAATGTTGAGATTCTTCAAAAGGAGCATTTACATCAAAGTGATCTAACAGGAAGAAACATGTTACATCAGTAATTAAACACTCTTTCCAGACAATCAACTAAGCAATTTACGATGAAAGCTGTTCATACCGACAATCATTTCTACTGGATACTCATTTTGATAATATTCAGAGATAACATATCAAGAGTATTTCTCCTATCTCTAAAAAGATGAATAAACTAAAAAAACAAAAGTTGAAATACAACTGGATACTTCAAAGATCTTGGTCCAACCAGCTTTCTAAAATCAGTATGCTAATGTTTGGTCATTAAAATATTAATTTTGGGAAGTAGATGTGGCTGAAAACTTTTTCTCATGCCCTTGTAGATAGTCCATTTTTAGCTTTATGTATAAAATGTGATGTTCATGTAAAATATATATATATATATATATATATATATATATATAATATTAGGCAGCATACATTTTATATATCAAGAAACAATCATACATAATCAGCAATATTAATGCGATTAATGGTGAAATCACTTCGTTAGTAGAACATAATGTATGCATTAAAATACTGTTAATCCATTGAATGATGTGATCCTCATTTTTAAAACTGTTGTCAGATGTTTCTATCTTTCGGTCTACAAACAATTATTTCGTCTTCAAGTTTTAACTTTAAAGGAAAAATATTACAACCTGATGATGGAGACATGACTCTTTGAAAGTTCTTGCTTAACAAATTTTTGCCTGTGGGTGTTGACTACAATGTCCACTTTTATATTTTATGTACACAAAAATAAAAATAATACTGCTATCTCATTTTAACAGATATATTTACCAAAATTGCACAAAAATATCTTGAAATATTAAAGAGTAAATTTATTGAGTAAAATCACTATTGGCTTCAATCATGGCCTCCAGACAATTTCAGAATCTCTTGCAACTCTTTTGGACGTTCTCCTTGTTGGTGAATGCTGCTATAATAGTTGCCTTCAGTTCATCTTTGATTTTACAAAAAGTTTTGTTGGTCTCTCACTCAACTGCATCCCACACATAATAATCAAAGGGATTGCAGTCTGGGGAGGTAGATGTCCAGATGTAAGTCATGATGTGATTGCAGAAATTATCTGACAGACATGATTGAGTTCTCCTCCTTGTGTGACAGGGTACAGAGTCCTGTTGCTAAACATAGGGTCTTCCAGCAGCCACCCTCTTGTCACAGGGCAGCACTTCCTCCTCAAGGTACTTGATGTAGGCCTCCGTGTTGAGTCTGAGGCCTTATGGAAAAATGAATGGAGATATAACATTATCATCACTAGTGATCATGTCAAACACATTTGTATTCACCATTAGACTCATCCAACTGTTTCCGAATTCTCAGCATTGTTCTCAGATTGACATCCAAACACTCTGAAATGTTTGTATTATCTATTCTGGTGCGAATACCAAGCAGTACAGCATGTGGTTTCCAAATTTCTGGCTGGGTCAATTATGTTGTGGTGATCTTTTTCTCATAGATGATACATAACTGGTTCTAATATACTGTGCAGTTGACAAAATCAAAAACAAACATGCATGTGTGGAATGAAAATAAAAAATGAAGACAATTTACCCACCGCGCACAGTATATATTTTATCATTTCACCCCAAACAAGACAATAATCCCACTATGATGCAATGGGTTACAGGTTTGGAAAAAGATTGAGAGGAGAAGTGAAGAAAGGACAATAAAGGAATAGGGTTCAGTTAGAGAGAAGATAGCAATTGACATTGCATTTAACTTTCTGAAGATGATAGATTGCAGGGAAACAAGAAATTAGCATTGTTCAATAGGTTAGAATTTGTGAAAAGAACTTCTTTGAAGACAATTGGTGGTTGTGTCTAGCTAGTTCAACAGTAAAACAATGAAACCTAGTTACCAATCTAGTAGCATGCTTAAATTCACATAATCGAGGGACTAAGGAAAAATTCTTATGAGAACAGTTGCCATGAAAATATTTATAGAAAATACAGTCATGTCACATCAGTGAGAAAGTGACTGCAGTTGAGATACCAGATCTAGATCAATTACATTACATACCCTTCTTTGAATTTTGTCAAGAATTTTGAGATATATAACAGTAGTACCAGAACTGATATGGCGGCAGTATTCCATGCAGTATCTTTAAGGTAGATTTAAAGGGTGTTCCAATAATTGGACCGATTTTAAATGTGAATTAAGTTGAAGTGTCTAATGATTATTTTCTTTTTCTTTCCGATTTAACAACTTAAGTCCTTGGCAATTTCAACCAGGGAAAGATTAACAATCAAAAAATGTGTTAAAGTTATTATCAAAGCCTATTACAAAGATGGATGTTCAAATAGAAATGAATGAGAAGTTCCCAGGTTGCATCATCTCTCGAAACAGCAAAGTCAATTGGCCACCATGATCGTGTGACTTGACGCCTTTAGATTTCTTCCTTTGGGGTTATCTCAAAAGTAAGGTCTGTACCAACAAGCCAATTCAACAGCTGAAGGATGAGATAATAAGGCATATTGGTGAGATTGAGGAGCAACTATGTAGAGACGTCATCAAAAATTTTGACCATCAAGTGAAGGTGTGCCACATAATTGCCATAACTTAAATAACATGATCCAATAAAGAAATAAAGAAATTTTCACCAATAACACAGATTTATTTACTGCTGGATTTGATCTGTCTTAATGAAATGTACAAGATGGAGTCTCACTAGAAAAATTCTCTGGCACAATATACGGAACCAACTTTTCTAGAAGTTTCATAGCAATGAAAAACGTGAGTCCAAATTAATTTTTATTTAAGCTTAAACTTACAAAAGATAAAAAAATCTACCTAAAGGAAATAACTTCAGATTTATTAACTGTTAAGTATAAAGACATTTCTGCAGGCACTCATTTCTATTAGCATCGGCCATAGTGGTATCCCACTAATATGTTATGCTTATGTCACACAGGAGATTCAAATAAAGTTGCCTTTTTGTTTGCATATACAGGGCCTTCTGTTGGAGGAACCCCTCCCTTATTGACCCTGCAGCCATACTCCATACACCTGGCCAATTGCAAATTGGTGAGGCTATCTTGTCCATAGTTGGAAGTTTTTAATTTAGTGTTATCCTCCTCCGAGACTGGTTGCCCCCAAGGCTATAGGACCCTACTATTTATCCATAGCTGGGGGATGAAGAGAAGGATTCATACCTTTTCCAAGGATATTTGCTCATGAATAAATGTAATATACTGGAATTTGGCTCTCTGATTCCTCAACCAAAGCCAGCAAGTCTTTGCATTTTAGTGGCTTTATTGCCTTGCTTGAAATGAAATGATTACAAAAAATTAATAAATAAATAAAATAACTGCAACAAAACTATGGTTAGCGATATCCTCTGTCCAAATGCTATGCTAGTGTAATGAGTTCAATCTTCACTGCAGCATTCTGCAAGATGTGAATGATTATATATTCCTTTTTTTTTTTTTTTTGACCCTCTTTCATTTTATTCACTTTATCTTATTCTTCAATTTCTTCTTCCATCATTTCACTTGCTTATAACATTTCTCGTTCTATTTACACTCTCCTTTCACTATATTCCTTTCTTATTTTCTCGGTATTTCATTTTCACTTCTTTTTCTTTCTTTCTTTCTTTCTCCAGTTTTCTGTTTGGACAGTTGTCTTTTTAATTATCAAATCAAATTAGATTTGGCAAGGAAAACATGAGAGAATATGCTTCCTTCATTGCGGAGATGCCACCACCAAAGCCACCGTTCTTGCAATCAGCTTATCGTCTTTTGCAAACGTTCTATCAATTGTTCCATGGAACCAGACAGATACGGTGCATCAGCATCAGTAGGGCCATGTGTACCATACATTTGTCATGAAATATCTGACTGTGGAATATCATTTACTGACCTCACTGTAATCCCTTTTCAAGGAAGAGAGAAAAAAGAAGAAAAAAAAGAATCAGAAAGAAAAGCTACAAAGAAAGATTTCTGATGGTTCAAATCTAGACTTGGATAAAGCAAGAATCTGGTGAAACGAATGGATCATCATTTTTTCCAACCAATCTCAAAGAGAAGGAGACAGGCACACTTGATTGCTTGCAAACTGACTTTTTTTTTTTTGTTTCTCGGCTGTCTTTTTTTTTTACCAGGCAATGGAACAAATATGGAGAGACATTAATCATTATTGATGAGAAAACTTGTCTCTTCTTCAAGATTCTGTTTAAAATTTGATTGAAAAATGAAATGAAAAAAAAAAAATTGGAGATCAATAAATTTATATTCAATGCTTAAATGCAATCATATTGCAAGATACATTTTTTTTTTTTGCATTTCAAAATAATCATTGATGCTATTAGAATATATTTTATCATCATAGAAACAAAAAGTGTCTCTTTTTGTAACAATATATATATATATATATATATATATAAAATTGTATGTTTGGGCAGCAATCCCCCTTTTATACAAGTTTCATTAAAAATGACTGACAAATTACTGCAGTTAAGTTTTTATTTCATTTTTCTTAGATTTTATTCTTTTCTGGACATAAATTGTGCGAATGTTTTGTATGTTCAAGCACTTCTGGCCAGTATCAAAGAATTATTTTATTTTTATTCTTAACTGAATGTATCTATTGTTTTATGTATGTATATTGAGTTACAAGAATATTTTATTTTTCAAACTTCTGCCATTAGAAAACAGCTCTATATATGTTAATTGCTAATTACAGGGAATTTTACTTTAACCAGTCTGCACTCATGCCAATCAGCCATATTGGTATTAATTCCATAATAGTCTAATAATGAATGATATTAATAATTAAACTTAGTGATAATTAATATTTGCCAGTTATAATATAAGTATGAACTAATTTTATTTTAAGCAGAATTTGTTGAGTCAGTATCTAAATTCCACTTGAAAATTTTTTAAAATATAATAATGCTCCCATTATTTTAGACTTTTTTTACATGTAGATGAAAATATGAAATTTGTATTATCAATGAGTGTTACAGATGGAGTTTGGTATTGTGTATTTAAATGAGATGTAATTGAGCTATGCTCAGAGAGATGTAATGTGAGTCTGCTTGTTAGGCATGTTGTAGTATATCCAATATAATTATTTATGAATTTGGATTGATCAAGAAAAAATTTACGTATTTATGTATATTACTTCAAACATTATTTTTAGAGGATACCCATATTTGAGTTTAGTTTAAACAGTATTATTATATTTTGTCTACCAGCCTTCACATTAAAAGAAATTAAATAATAAAGAAATAACACCATCTAACAGGACACAGTGCTCTTCTAAACAAGTTTTATTAAAAAGGGTAGATATTCTATATTGATTGAATTTATCCGTAGTCACCCCTAAAGTGCAAATCCTCTTCCACAAGCCTGGCTCCTGCAGATGCAAAAAATATCTGAAATCAAGTGTCCAAGCTTTCAACTCAAATGAGTCATCTTCAGGGATGTGAAAAAGTAAAGTAAAATGAAAGAAAGAAATTCACTTTTTTGAAAGTGTTGTTATATTTTGTTTGAAACTGCATCTGATAAATCAAAATGCAGAACAGTACTATATTGGCAGCTAGATCTCACCTTTTTACTGTTGAAATTGCTAGCTGTAACAACAAGTTCTATGCAGTTAGTTTTTTCTCTTGTACTTCTTGCTTTTGAAACTCTCTTCCATTTTCTTGATTTCTTGTCAACTACAATCTTCAAATACTGAAATACAATATCAATCTCCATCTTGTCTCCTTAAATTTTGTTCTTTTGTTGTCCATTCTCCTCAATAATTTTTTCTCAGTTTCTTTTATACTCAGTTACTCCTTATGTCAGTGGCTTTATTGCCTTGCTTGGGGGTGAAATGATTATATGTGTGTGCGCAAATAGAAGCACATTTCTTAAACAGTAAATATTTTTAATATGGGCACATGGCCAAGTAGTTAGAACATTCAGATTCTGACCATGAAACCCAGGTTCAAATCTCACCACGGTTGATTTGTCAGGAAGGAGACTTCCTGATGTTATCGGTCTGGAAGGGTTGATCCCAGTATGTGGCACTTTTGAAAACCATACAATGGGTTGATCCAAGCCTTGTGAGTGAAATTGGATAGACAGAACCCTTGGTGGCTGTCAATAGCTGTGCTAGAACAAAGTCACAAGTCATCGTGGCTGAGGGCTTGAGTGTGCTGGCATTGTTCAAATTGTTGAACACACTAGATAACACACTCTTTCCCATAAACTGTAACTAAGGTCTGCTCAGCAAAGTTGCAGCATAAACCACAAATGGGTTCAGTGGGTGTTGAATAAACACAAACGTTCTTGAGCAAGCATCTCCAAGAGGGATTGGCTAGCCGCCCTAGTAGACAGGTATCCTCAAATATGAGTGGTTATTGATACAAATATTTTGAATATTTTCAAGTGCAATTTAAATACTGACTCAACAAATTCTGCTTAAAGTAAAATTAGTTCATATTTATATTATAACTGACAAATATTTATTATCACCAAATTTAATTATCAATATTATTCATTATCAGACTATTATGGAATTAATACCAATATGGCTGATAGAGTGGAGTGCAGATTGGTTAAAGTAAATTCCCCTGTATTTAGCAGTTAACAGATATAGAACTGTTTCCCATTGGCAGAAGTTTTTGTAAATTTATACTTTATTAATTAGAAATTGCTTAGAATCTGTGAGTAAAAATGGACTAGAAATTACTTAATTCTCTATGTCAGAAAATTAAAATAGTCTTATGCAAGCAAAAATTGTATGACACTTAACTATTCTTGTTGAGTTAAAGGAAAGCAAACAAACATACAGAAACCAAATCATTATAATAGTAATATAAAAGACTTGCTAGTAAGTTCTCAGCTCAACAAGTAAAGTATTCTTCACTCACATTGTTTGATTATTTGTCACCTTTTTGGAAGGTGGTTGAATTGAGAACTTTATTACACTTCCTCAGACACACACACACATATATATATATATATATATATATATATATATATATATATATATATATATAATGTTGAGTTTAGATAAATTCTTTTTCATTGTAGTTGTGATAGAGTTACTGAGTAGAATAATGTATTTTTTTTTATTCATTAGGTTTGTCAGTAAGGACAGCTCTTCTATTTTGGAATATTTTATATGCCTTTTGTTTTGCATTGAAAATGAAAACTGAAGGTTTTTGAATGTATTTTCAATACATTTTTTTTCTTCTTGTAAATATTGAGGGCTAAATATAAAATTTGTCACAACTACATAGAATATATATATATATATATATATATATATATATTTAAGTTATGAAAAACTTGGTAATCCATATGGGTAGCCCCAAGGAGGATGAAATCCTGAGAGCTCAATGTAAATCCAGAGCTAATATTTTAAAGAAAAACAGATCACTTTAAGGTTTCATTATAATAATTTATTTCATCAGAGCCCTTTTAAAGGGCACTGGATCATCAGATAACACTTCCAAAAAATGAAATGAAAGATGAAATGAAAATTCACACTTTTGACAGGTGGTATTAAGTTTATGTAATTTAACAGAGAGGGTAGTGAGGAGTGGTGTGAGAGATATGGTCGAGTTTAGAGGAGGTTTATTTCAATATTTCTTTCAATCATACTTAGTATTGGGAGAGGAGGGACCAGACCTTGAACTATATATATATATATCCAGTTCCTCATATCCATACAACTGAATATGTTAGCTCTATCACTGATATTGAGTGCTTTACAATAAGTAGCACACAAATATATTATATGTAGAAATTATATATACATACATATATATGTGTGTGTGTATATATATATATATATATATATATATATATATATATATATATGTGTGTGTGTAAATATATCTGACCTCTGGTTGATGATGAATATGACTTTCATATTCAATAAAAAAATATGATTAATGTTAATGTCTGAAATAGTTGCCATTTTTTGGTATATGTTTGATTCATCAATAGGTCAGTGGCTCAAATTTTACAAAATACATGTTTAATTTTCAACATAATCTTCTTCTGTCTCAATGCATCTAATCTAAAACTATCGACTTTTGTATAATCATCCACACCCCGTACGCATTTGCACCCACCACAGCAACATATCTCCATATTACACACACACACACACACATATATATATATATATATATATATATATATATATATATACCCTAACCCTGTCCAACATTCACTGGCATACAGGGGGATTTAAATTATATAACATTTCATAACTCTTCTAACAAAATTTTCGCCTTTCTTAATACTTTGCTTCAATTTCAGAAGGCATATTTCGCTAGCCCAATATGGCTTCGGATTTCAATTTCACACTTTTCATCGTCTGGTTAACCACTTCCCATATATTCAAATTTTTGTACTTGTGTTGTGGGCCAGTGTATGCATTAAGAGATAAGCACATGTGTCTCCCGAAATGCCCACAACAAACATGGTGGACTAAATAAAAGAAGAAATGACAAGAACCAATATATATGTACAAGCAAATGATAATGTATTAACAACAAAGGTATACAAGTGACAAAGACAATAAATTGTGTTACAAATGAATATGAAAACCTTTTTGTGTGCAAAGTATGTGTAGTGAGTGAATGTGTGTACGTACGTATATCATGTATGTGTGATTTGTTCCCAAAGGAAAGACATTCTCCGGTTACATGTTGAAGAATAAACGGATGTCAGAAGAGGGTGAGAAAATATATCACTGAATATTTATAGTCCAGAAAGCACCCCCTAGTATCAGTTTCAAAAATTAGGAGGAGATAACCCAACAATTGTTTGATTTTGCTATCTCCAATTTGTAATTTGCATGTTTCGCTGTTCCTTTTGCTAAAAATCATGCATAGTCTTGTTGCAGGTGATATGACATAATACTTTTGTAAAATAATAAATTTTAAATGAAGTTAGAAGTTGCTTAATTAGGAAATACTTCCCCTTGTTTATTTATTTGCAAATAATTCTCATATAAAATCAAGAAAAGAAAATACATTGTGTTAAACAACCACTTTCAGTAGCTTTTAAGCAAGTGCATGAAAAAGATTTTCAATCTGTTGAATTCATAATCAATATACAAAGGCAACCATGCAGTTAACTTTTATTATTATTATTATTATTACTGATATTATTTATGGATTGCAGG